CTTAAAAGTTATTACATTGGCTCCAATTGTTTTATTCTTATTTTTGTTGGATTTCATGTGGAAGTTTTCAAAAATGTCCATTAGAATACCAATATCTGAGCCATACTTTATTTAAAAAAACACACTAGATCATATATAATATATACAGTCATATTGATAAGTAGTTTTCATAAGTAAAATAAAGCGTTACTACTATCAAAGTGTGGCACTATTTGCCAAAAATATTTTTATATTTTAGTATCTTTGCAACAAATCATTAAACATTAAATATACTTATTATCCATTAAAGTCTTTTCACTTTTCACCTGGGAAGAATTTTTTTTTTTTACAAACTTCTTCATTTTCTCTTTCTAATAAAGCAGAAGGCTCCAGGTGCCACAGCACGTTTCAGCGCCTGAGAAACGTCAGAAGGATCGCTGCTGCAGAAAATCTCACGATTATCTGCGAGACTTGGAATCTCCCAAAAATATTTTGTCCGGATCCAAAGAGCGACACGCAGTGAGGAGGGGGGGATCGCCACCCGGAGATGCTCGGGGTCCAGGTAAAGACAGATCTGCACTCTTTTCTTCCCCTGCAGCAGAGACAAAAACGAGGGTTTAGTTTCCTCTTCAGGCTGAGTCTCGTTTCTTCTGGACCGACAAAAACAAACACTCACTCCTCATGTGCTCGGCTGTCAGGATGTTTGTTTATTTATTTATTTGTTTATTTTGCAGGCGGGCACAAGAAGTCCGTGCGGAGAATTCCGTGCGGGTGGCGCAGTTTCGGGTTGATTTAATTGCGTGAAACTAGCCGTGTGTGTGCGCGGACTTTTATTGTGGGGCTGCGCCGCTGAGGATGGCTCCATGTTTAGGGGCGGAATCTCCTGCGCACTTTCTAAAAAAGAATGACGCGCCGTGCCGTGCCGTGCCGTGCCGTGCCGTGCCGTGCCGCGCCGCGCGGTGATGCGCTGGAGGTGAGGCTGCTGATGCTGCAGGCAGGAGGAGGCACAGGATGGATGGATGGATGGATGGATGCGGGGGCAGACACACACTCTGCCCGTCATGTTGCTTGGTGTTTCTGAAGCAGTGTGCTTTCATAAAGTGAACAGGTAGAACGTGTCAGGAAGGAGACAACCAGGAAATCCCAATTCCCAAAAAAACATTTCCCTGAAATCTTCAAACCTATACAGGCTTGTAGCGTGGAGGGTAAAATAAACACATTTGTTGTTTCATTGCACTATAAAACAACCATGTTTGATGAACTAAATTAAAAATATTCGTTTAGGTTTGTCAAAAGATCCTGTTGTGGTTGTAGCTGAGAGTCATGCCCAACACATAGCCTGAGTGCAGTTTGGCAACATTCCTGCTTGAAACTTTGGCACTAACTGTTTACAGCTGGGGTGTCAAACTCACGGCTGTAAMTAAAGTGAATATCATGCTTTTAAATCCTTCTTTTTCCACATTTAAATCATTCAGTTGGGGTCTGTATAAAGTGGAATTGCAATGCTTTGGTCTGAATCCCCCCCTCTTTCGCCCCTTTTCTGAGATTTGTCTCAGATCAACTCGTTTTGAGGCTGTCTCTTTAAATCCAAATGAGGCGCCTCACACCCCACCCCCATCCTGCTTCCAGACCGATCCAGTGGGTTTACGACTGGCGGCTCAGAAACTTTTTATTTACAAAAGCGTGACCCAGAGTGACAGGAGAATGAATGAAATTGTAGTTGTAAATCCAAACCTTATTTGTCTGTTCTGTCACAAAACCTGGCAAGTTCAGAAAATAAAATAGAGAAAACAGAACTAGTTGAAAATATAAGCTAAACAGAATATAAAAACAGTATGTTTGCAGCATTGGGAGGGACTAAATTAGACCTTTTTTCACTCCTAGAGACTCCAATAGGCCTATACACAAAATATATTTAACTGCTAAAAAAGTCAATTTTGCATGAAATGTCCATTTTAACTTAGATGTTTCATGTTAAACTTCGACAAAACATTGCTATGGCCGAGAACCAAACAAAAGTGAGCTCTATGTAGTATTTTTAAATAGAACATATATTACAACTGACTTAATGTTAAGTAAATAATACAGAAATATTAAAAGTATAAGTAAGAGATTTTTAGTTGCTGTTGAGTAGTGGTAAGAAGCCACCATCTTGCTTTCCGAACTTGGGTAGTTTGAGTTTTCCCACTTTACGACAAGGAATTCCCACTGGAGGTGGATTTCCAGTTTAAATTAACAACTTGTTCGTAGGAAATTCCCACTTCCCACTACAACGTGGCACAGCCAAAGTAGCTGGTGACAGTGCAGCTTAATGGAGATGACGCAAATTTCGCCGGCTGCTTTTGAACCCTGTGCACCTTGTCCTAGTGGTGGAACGCCATCATTTTGTGGGTAAAATAACCGACATGCATTATGGGAGATGTAGTTTGTGGTCAGTGCTGATTTTAAGACATTCATTTGTTTTTAAGCTCTCGCGGAGCACAAAAAAATGCAGTGGTGGGCCACATTTGACCTTGAGTTTGGTGCATGGCTTAGAGTCAACTCGACTTGGCTGTTAGCAATATATACAGTGGTTTGCAAAAGTATTCATACCCCTTGAACTTTTCCATATTTTGTCACATTACAAC